CAAATTCCAATTTGCTAAAGGAATTCGAAATCTTCTACAAGATATTTCTTTTATATTCAGAACCGGTAACCAGTGTAAAGCCAAAGTTTACAAATGCCGATATAAAGGTGGTCAAGCCAACTCCGAGCATGAGCAAGGTGTCGATGACTTGTCCAGCTCAAGGGTTCCCTGTCCCTATTACACGGTCAGTAATAATCGTTATCTCTCAAAGGATCTTTCGTTCTCGATTAGAACCGACTTCGAGCGCGAAACCAAAATTACCGGCCAATCGGAAAGTCGAATTCGTCGAAATGAAATTGGACGGTGCGGTGAGCCTCGTGTGTCCTTTGCAAGGCTATCCTGTTCCAATTACGAGGTGAGACAATTACTCACCGTCGATTCTATCATACATCTACGCGTATCATGTTATATCAATCTCGTTACCATCTCGAACGTGTGTGTACTTTCGAAAGTATCATTTCCATGCTAGTTTCGTTTTTCAAATTAATTTTTTCACATGTCGGTATTAAATTTTCTATCGATACGAGAGTTAAACTTGATTTCATCTTTATAGCTTTTACTTGTATTATTTCTTTACACTATTTTTTCTCTTTATTTTTTTTTTTCTTTCAACAAATAATAGAATTAATTTTTTGATGAACCACTCGAACGATCGTTTCGATCTGAACCTATTCTCCTAGAGCCTGTTGGATTCAAGTCTCCGATATTCTCCAGCGATCTTACGTTGAGCGCTTATTCGAGACGCGAGGGTATCGGCGTGGTGCTAGCCTGTAACGCTCAGGGATTTCCCGTTCCAGCTGTCAGGTAAAATAATATCTTTTTGCATCAGAGAAGATCTATCTCCTCTTTGAGGATCCAAAACGATCGTCGATTTCAGAGCCTGTAGGCGCGAGATCACCTAGGCTTACGTCGGATGATCTGAGCCGTACAATTGGAAGATATGAGGGACAGCCCATCACAATATTTTGTGCAGCTCAGGGAAGCCCTGTCCCTACTACTAGGTAAATTGAAAAGGCTAGATTTTTTTTAGGGATGATTAGGATATATTTTGATCGAGGAAACAAAACTTTCTTGTTTTCCTTTGAAATTTTCGTTTTTCCTTCGATAATGTTTAGAACCAATTGGAAGCAAAGCACCTGCCTTTTCTGGGGAAGCCAAGATCTCTTTGCTATCTCGACGAATCGGAACAGAAGTTAGCATCTCCTGCAACGTCCAGGGTTACCCTGTCCCTACGTTTAGGTATGAAAGTTCGATGATAATCTTGATCTTGTAATTGGTTCGTTGCTTCGTCGAGCTAATTGCTTTTCGTCGAACTAATTGCTTTTCATCGCGAGAGAACCTCTCATATCTCTGTCCCTAGCCATTGTATCCAAGTAATCGAATTCCGATGCTGTTTAGAACCTGTCGGAAGCAAAGCACCTGCTTTTGCTGGAGATACTAAACTCTCCTTGCTGATACGAAGAGTGAACTTGGATATTGGTCTTCTCTGTAATGTTCAAGGCCATCCGCCTCCTAAAGCTAGGTATTGGACTAGTGTTGAAAGATTTCAATTGAAATTTACTTTAGCTCTTCGAATTCGAGATTTATTAGAATTCTTTGATTATTCGTTAAAATGAATTTATAAAATACTTAGTATGTATATCAACGAAAATCTATTAATATGAATTTAAATAATGTTATTTTTAATGAACAATTTGTGGCATATTACTTTTGAATCTCGATTGCGAAGTGAATTGAAAAAGATGAAAATATTCTATTTTTATGATGTCGTCGTTACAAAGAAAGAAGTCGTCCTTGTACGTAATAGATCTGAGGTAGGTCAGTTCTGTTTGCAAAGTCAAAGATACACTCGCGTTTTCTACAAGTAGTGTAGATATCTTTTGAATGAAGTCACTTAGAGAGACTTTAATGTCGTCCGTTTTAAAGTACACTGTTTTCTTTAGAACGCTTGAAGGTCGTGAATTTGGAATGTGGGTCAAAGTACCATCGGGGTACCCTGTCTAAGTAGAAGAAAGAGAGAAAAAAAAATAAGAGTAGGGCTGACTTCGAGGAGATTTTGTCCATCTTTTCATTTTCTTTCCCAGAACCCATGGGAAGCAAAGCACCCGCATTTCTCGGAGATGTAAAGTCTTTCTTTTTCCTCCGTAAAGAGAACACGGAAGTAAGCTTGCTATGTAATGCCCAGGGCCACCCTGTTCCCGTGACCAGGTATTATATTACTTTCTCTTGAAAGCTGTAGTTCAAGGCCTTTGTAGGTCGCTTCTTTACAGATACTCAGAGAAATTTTTAGAATATCAATCGTCGTCTCCTTGCTTCTCGACTGAAATAATATTCTAATTATGTTCGATGTTCGTCGATAAGACTGATCGAAAAAACATTCGTTTCTTTTTGCTTGTTTGTTAAATACCGCGACAGAACCGGTGGCAACGAGGAAGCCGAAATTCTCGAGTGACTCTAAGATAGTAGGCTGGTATGATCGGGCAGCAAGTCAAGATCTCACCTTGTTGTGTCCTGCCCAGGGGTTCCCAGTTCCAACTTATAGGTATAACAAAGTCGAGAGAATTAGACATCAAGCATGCCTATGTTGTTCTTATCCGTATTAGAGCCAGTAGCTACGAGGAAGCCAAAGTTTTCGACGGAGTCGAAGATTACTTCTTACGAACGTGTCATCGATCATGATACTACTCTGCTTTGTCCCGCCCAGGGGTTCCCAGTACCAACTTATAGGTATATAACATATATAAATACATATAGACGACTCAGAAAAGAAAAGGATCAGGAAAATTTATAGTATTTTTAGACGAATAGTATTCTCGTGTCACGTTCCGTTTATATTATTCATTTTTTTTGGGGAAATCTCACAATTGTAGAGCCAGTTGCAACGAAGAAACCAAAATTCTCGAGCGATGCTAAATTCGCTGGGTACGATCGAGTCGTTGACCAAGATCTCACTCTCTTCTGTCCTGCCCAGGGGTTCCCAGTTCCAACTTATAGGTATATAATATTTATATAAATACGTGTATAGATGATTAGAAAAGAAAGGGAGCATTCGATCACGAGAACTTAAAGTAATTCGAGATGAGTACAAATAGTATTGTTTTTTATGTCTCTAGTATTATTCGTTTCTTTGGCAAATTTCACGATTGTAGAACCAGTGACAACGAAGAAACCAAAGTTATCGAGCGACTTTAAGATGGCCTGGTATGATCGAATTGTTGACCAAGATCTTACTCTCTTCTGTCCTGCTAAGGGGTTCCCAGTTCCAACTTATAGGTATATAATATTTACATAAATACGTGTAAATGATTAGAAAAGAGAAAGGATCGTTCAATTACGACTATTAGTCACTTTGAAGTCTTGATTATTAGTGATTCCTTTGGCAAATCTGATGTTTGTAGAGCCAGTGGAAATGAAGAAACCAAAGTTTTCGAGTGACTTTAAATTGGCCTGGTACGATCGAATCGTTGACCAAAATCTCACTCTCTTCTGTCCTGCTCAGGGGTTCCCAGTTCCAACTTATAGGTATATAATATTTACATAAATACGTGTAGATGATTAAAAAAGGCAAGGATCATTCGATTACGAAAATTTAGAGCTAGTAAGCTGCTCTCTTGTGTCCCCATTATTTTTCGTCTTTTTTTTTGGCAAATTCACGATTATAGAGCCAGTGGCTACGAGGAAACCAAAGTTTTCGAGCGATGCTAAGAAATCCTGGTACGATCGAGTCGTTGGCCAAGATCTCACTCTCTTCTGTCCTGCTCAGGGGTTCCCAGTTCCAACTTATAGGTATTTAATATTTACATAAATACGTGTAGACGATTAAAAAAGGCAAGGATCATTCTATTACGAAAATTTAGAGCTAGTAAGTTGCTCTTTTATGTTCCCATTATTTTTCGTTTTTTTTTGGCAAATCTCACGATTGTAGAGCCAGTGGCTATTAAGAAACCAAAGTTTTCGAGCGATGCTAAGAAGTTCTGGTATGATCGAATCGTTGGCCAAGATTTCACTCTCTTCTGTCCTGCTAAGGGGTTCCCAGTTCCAACATATAAGTATTTTTATACTAAATATCTAGATAGAGAAGTTGAAAAGAGACTTTTACGATATATTCTCGCTTGTATTTATCCGAAGAATGAGCATGCTTTCTTCAATCTCTCTCTCTCTCTCTCTCTCTCTGTATATTTGTTATGTATGTGAAAATCGTTAGAGCCAGTCGGAAGCAAGGCGCCGGCATTGACAGGCAATTTGAAAGGCGGATGGATGGAAAACAAAGCAAGCTCAAGCATCGTCTTAACATGTCCAGCGCAAGGCTATCCCGTACCTTCCTTTAGGTAAACCTTTATTAATCTTTAAACGGAGTATCTTTCCACTCCCGCATTCCATTTTACGCGGTTAATGAAGAGAATTATAGAAAGTCAGATGTTAATTTACTCCGGTGACTTTGTCGTTCCTTTTATATTTGAATATCTATCGTTAAAGTACACTTTTGATAATTTATCGTAACAGAGATAAAAGTATGAGTTTTAATTAGTTGGATTATTTTCTAGATGTATAATTTCATTGTTTCCATTTAGCTTTCATGGGTTCCCTGTTCCAACCGATAGTGGTTTATTAAAATTCACTTCGTTGATAGTATTGTTATATTTTCTTCTTTTTGCATTATTAGAACCAGTTGGAGGTAAGGCACCAGCATTGATGGGTGATATAAAAATGATAATGATATTGGAAAAAAAGACTGACGGTAGCGTTGTACTAAGGTGTCCTGCTCAGGGTTATCCTGTGCCTTCTTTTAGGTAAACGAATATATATTTTTCTTTATCTCTTTATTTTTTTTCATGCCTGATACAATCACGTGGACGTATATAGTAACTTAGAATTTAATCGAAAAACAGTATCTTTCGTATATTTTTATGGGTCCCCTGTTCCAACCGGTAATCTTTTAGATAATTTACTAATATTTCCATTCTCGATTATTTTTTTTTTATTTATTTTTGCGTTGTTAGAACCAGTAGGAAGTAAAGCACCAGCGTTTACTGGCGGTGACGTAAAAGGCGTATGGATGGAAAAAGGGATGAATTCTAGCATCGTACTGCAGTGTCCAGCGCAGGCTTATCCTGTGCCATCATTTAGGTAATTTATATATTGCGTTTAAAAGATCAAAGAATACGCGTTCTCGATCGTATCATTTCTTTCGCAAGGGGTACTCTCTTCCGGTTTCTCGGTTTATTTCGAGAGTATATCGAGTCGCTCGATCTATCTCATTATTTTATCAGAACCTATTGGAGGCAAAGCACCAGCATTGATGGGCAACGTAGTTGGCGTTATGATGAACAATCGAGCAGACTCACCAGTCGTGTTGTTTTGTCCAGCTCAGGGTTATCCCTTACCTACGTATAGGTAAATGATTAATATCCAGAAATATAATTGCGACATATATATTTATGAGCTTTTAATTGAATATTATGTGTTATTCGAAAATATTTACTTAGGAACGATTACAAATATTTCCTTTTTATTATACATCATTCATTTGCTTACACTCGAGCGAGTTATTCGGTGTCTCATAAAAAGTAAAATATGTTAGCGCTGATTGCATGTCAATTTGTATCTGTTAGAACCGGTGGGAAGCAAAGCACCGACTTTCACGAACGAATTAAAAGGTGGATGGTTAAAGAAGAGAGCTAACTCGAATATCGTGCTAACGTGCCCTGCTCAGGGTCATCCTGTACCAATGTTTAGGTAAATGCTTTAACAAAAACAACATATATATATATATATATATATATACATGTGTGTGTGTATAAAATGCTCTTCTCTCGCGCACGTGCTTCCGAATTAAAAGAACAAAAAAAAAGAAAAAAGAAAAAAGACGAATACAAAGAAAAAGAAAAGAGAAGAAACGTCAAAGCGTATTTATCGTCGTTAGAACCGATTGGAACGAAAGCTCCCGCGTTGACGGGTGACTTGAAAGGCGGATGGAAGGACAAAAGGGCGAATTCCAGCATCGTCTTGACGTGCCCGGCTCAGGGATATCCTGTGCCAAGTTTTAGGTAAATGGCTTCTCTCTCTCTCTTTCTCTTTCTCTCTCTCTCTTTATTTTTTCTATTTTACTTTTCTTTTACTATTTTCTTTCGTCGATGATAGTACCGAAACTTTCTTTTTGAACTTTCATCGTTAGAACCGATCGGATTCAAAGCCCCCTCATTGATCGATGACTCTAAACGTGATTGGAAGGAACACAGTACGACGTCGAGTATTATACTGTTCTGTCCTGCCCAGGGTTATCCTGTACCCAGTTTTAGGTAATACTTAGCTATATATAGCTCGCTAACGTATCTCCCGATAATCGTGAAAACTAGTTTGATAATCGCGAATAATTTCTATATCGTTAGAACCTGTTGGAAGTAAAGCACCGTCGATATTGGGTGAGAAAGGAAGTTTAATGGAGAGAAGGACTTCGACGAATATCGTGATACCTTGCCAAGGGCAGGCTTACCCTGTTCCAACTTTCAGGTAAATTTTATAAAGTTAAGAAGGCAAGACGACAAAAGAGGATTTTGGAGTTTTGCACGAAACACATTTAAGATACATGGATGGCTAGGATTCATTATTTATTTTCGTGAGAAATTTCCTTCGATATTTATGACGGAAGTGATTCGGTCGTACTTTTTAATATTATCATATGATCGTTGAAAAGCGTCTTTTGGGTTAAGAACCTGTGGGAAGTAAAGCGCCTTCGATTACGGGCGATGCCAAACGATGGCTGCAGGCGAGGTCGTTGGCTGGATCGGTGATGCAGTGCCAAGCTCAGGGACACCCAGTGCCAGCATTCAGGTAGATAGAGTATCTTTTTATCGATCGCGTTCTTATTTCTAAACGGGATAGTTACGTATTACTTCGTTTCATTGTATCAATGAATGCATATTTTTTTCTTTCCTACTTTTCCTTTTTTCTTTTTTTTCTACTCGATGAGGTATTCTATAGTCCTTGATGTTCTTTTGGCGGATGTGTGTCGGATCTATTTCTCAGATTAAATTGTTCGCCTTGTTATTTTTACGTCGTCAGAACCAGTGGGAGCGAAGGCGCCAAAATTCTCGAGCGATGATCGCGTGCATTCATTCATACGTGCCAAAGGAAGTACGTCGAATTTGTTTTGTCCGGCCCAAGGTTTCCCAGTTCCATCGTTCAGGTATAGATACATAGGAATAGCCGTTTTCCATGACTTTTGCTCGTATTTTTTCGCAGAACCGGTAGGCTCGAAGGCTCCTGCGTTTCAGAGCGAAGCTAAAAGCGTTACTTATGTTAAACATGCTAAATCTTCTGTAGCGTTAACATGCTCGGCTCAGGCTTCTCCACCTCCTACTTACAGGTAAAGTAATAGTCGAATTATATAATATATATATAAAAAAAAGAAAAGAAAGAACTATAAAAATATTCGATTAGGAAATATGACGATAATTATTATCGATCTTTTGTACATCAACAAGGAAGAGATTCTCTATAAAAGGACGATAATCGTATATTATTAACGAAGTGTAAACGTTATGAAATTAATTAGGAGATTATCGAATATCAGGCGGAAACGATGAAATTGGTGGTGCGTTTACCTGTAGGGGTATTTAAACTCGTTACGGTTTTCATTATCGTTATTACGATAATACAATGAATATTTTGTTTGGATATGAAGAGCCGGCAGGTCGCGTGTCACCGAAGTTTCCGAAATCAGCAAAATCCGATTCTTTCGAAGTGACGATGGGCATCGAGTTGAGTTTGCTCTGCGACGCACAGGCCTTTCCTGCTCCAGCATTTAGGTCAGTTCATTCAATTTATATACCTTCCGGAGAAGACATTATGTATGTACTCTGAAGCTCATTTTAATTATGGGCAGCCTTAAATTGAATTGAAAGCATGAAAATTTACGACGTGGATAATTCTCCTTATTTTCGGTTTACTTATACAAGCTTCGTTTAGCTTCAATAGAATGTTAAAATGGAACGGTTTTAAATTAATTGCATTTTTATTTCTTATTATACGTGATTTTGATATTTTAAATTTAGATCAATTTATATTATAAATTTTCTTTCCTTTTAACACGGTGATTATTTCATAGAGCCAGTTAACGGTGCCAAGCCTAGAGTCGCATCAACATCGAAATACGATGTACTTGCTAATTACATTGGGGCATCCGTTACAATGTTGTGTCCTGCCCAAGGACACCCTCTACCAGCTTTCAGGTACTTAAGTAAATAACACACGTGAATTGTATTTCTCTTCATTGTATGCGTTCCATTAAGGAAGGAATTTTAATATCACATTAATGAATTCTATTGAACGCTATATTGTAACTATGAGTTCCATGCTATCGATGATATAATCATTATTTGATTATAATTAAGTGATAAACCGATCGAACGATTTAATTGAACACCCGCGTTCATCTATTTAGAACCGGTGAATCGTGCTGCACCAAAAGTACCACCGACGGCTAAAATAACGGTCCTTGCGCTTCCGGTACAGAAAGCTTTGGCGATGTTATGTCAGGCGCAAGCAAATCCACTTCCAGTCTTCAGGTACGCTTTAGTACAAGTAGGTTGACTAAATATAGGACGTCGTGCGGTCGAAGTTTTGGCTTTCAGTTTGGGCTTTAAGAAAAAGCATGGATGGAGAGGTTGCGTAGGTATGTTTCACCGACGTCTATTTTGAAGAAGTACATATATTAGTCGGTCTGTAGGTATTTTCGGATATCCGATAGGAGAGAGGGAGAGAATAAACGTCTTTAGATTTTTTCTTTATACGAATAAAATTGAAAAATAGCTATGAATGATCGGAGACGAGGTTGGATTTTGGAAATTTTGCTTTTTAGAACCGGTCGGAAGTAGTCCTCCTCGATTGCCGTCTAGATCAAAATTCGATGGAATGATGAAAGTTCAAGGACAGGCTGAGACGTTGCTCTGTGAGGCACAGGGCAGTCCGATACCTTTTTACAGGTGAGGAACGATAGAAAATGGGTCTTTAGAATGCCTTATCTTTGGAATCGTATGCCGTGCATCGACGACTCGTTTTAATGGAATAATAGTTGAATCATTTTTGGAAATAATCGTTCGTTAAAAAATTGCAGAACCGCGTGGTAGCGTTAGACCAAACATCAAGGATAAGGATATCAATTTCATGAAAAAAATCATCTCGATGAATGAAATGATTGGCCTCATGTGCCCAGTACAAGGCTTCCCGGCACCCGCATTCAGGTACAAAAATGTAGATCAACGAATAATTCGACGAGGAATGTTAGAGCTTCGATCGTAATTCAATCGATTAGTGATCGAATGAAACTCGTGTCTTTGAATCGACCTTACTTGCAGAACCGCGTGGTAGTGTACGACCAAACGTCAAGGATAAGGACGTCAAAACGATGAAAAAAGTCATTTCTGTGAACGAAATGATTGGTCTCATATGTCCAGTTCAAGGCTTCCCGGCACCCGCATTCAGGTACAAAAATGTAGACCAATGGATAATCCGACAAGGAAAGTTTAAGCTTCGATCGTAATTCAATTGATTAGAAATCGAGTGAAATTCGATGAGTCGTATCTTTGAATCGACCTTGCTTGCAGAACCAACTGGCAATGTCCCACCACGCATTGCTGGTGAACGTTACGAAGGTGGCAAGCTGGTCGATGTTGCAAAGATGACGACAGCGGCGTTGGATTGCGCGACTCAGGGATTTCCTGTCCCAGTGACAAGGTAGTACCGCTCAAGTGAAAGATGGAGATACGTTTCTCCTCTGAGTATTCTACGTGACTATTTCAGAGGGTACCACCGAGATAGCACCGCGTTCTTCGGGGAGAAAATACGAGGGATGGGAAGTGATATCTTGTTCTCAAGGTCAGAACGTTGCTTTCAGTCACTCGCTTCAGGGACATCCTATACCTTCGACAAGGTAGACTTATCTCTTTCTCTCTCCCTCTCTCTCTCCCTCCCTCTATCGTTCCTTATAGCGTCCTCTCTCTATATCCTTTCTCTGTCTTTCGTTTTGTCGTCGTTTTTTCGTCGAGTGCCGATAAAAATAATAAAAGATAAAATGACAAAATATATATCGAATCGTCTAGACACTGTTCTTCTTCAAATCAAAAGGTGAGTAATCGCATGCAAAAATATTGAATTTTTAAAGCAAAGCTCAGACAAATGGACAAGTAGTCTGATGAACGAACTGGTAGGTACAGATCTTTTCTTCTTCTTCTTCCCATGAAAAAAAAACAAAGACAAAAAATAAAGAATTAAAGAACCGATCGATCGATTGAGAATCTACCTCGATGGATCACGAGCAAGGACGAGCTCTCTTTTCTATGCTCATTGCATTATCCTTTCAGAACCATCCGGTCGCACTGCCCCAAAGGGGACTGGAGACGGTCTTAATAAGTACCGCGGGGTAGAGGGCGAGTCTCTGGCTCTGGCGTGTGCGGCACAAGGCTTTCCTGCCCCGATAACTAGGTACACACCTCCGATAGTTTTCTTCCCTCTCTTTCTTTATTCAGATTTTCTCTCTCTCTCTTTCTCTCTCATTCTCTCTACTATTTATTTTTTCTTCCTTTTTACCTTCCTTTCATTAGACTCTTCTTTCCTCCAATGAATCCCATTTTCTCTTTCAAAATCTTTCCTTACCCTCTACCCCGTGTCGGGTTGCGGTACCGCAAGAGGATCAATTGAAATAAAAAAGAAAGGCATAGAAAGAGTGCGTTTTGTAGAAACAAGATTGTTTCTTACAAAATTAACAGAAAAACGCAAGAAAAGTATTAACAAGGATCTCCGATGCGACAAGTTCGCGAAAAGGGTGAGAAGAAGGGTGGGTTATGGATAAATGTAGGGAAAAAAATTTTATTAGTTTGTTTCTTTTTCTGCTTCTTCTCTGTGAAACAATATTCTCTGCTATATACTAGGACAGATTTTTATATATTTTTGTGAATATCCATTCGATTTTAGACTTGACCATATGTCATATGATCGACAATAGATCAAGAAACGTAAAGTCTGATGATTATATCCAAATCTGAAGGAGTTGCCTTAAAAGAGAAAAAATAGAAAAGTTATGGTGACTTATGATAAAGAAAAAAAAAAGAAAGAAAGAAAGATAAAAAGAAAGGATGGATGGATAGAAGGAAGGATATAAGACAATGAATTGACAAAATGTATGTTCGTTGTTCGGGGTGAGCCAATCGGACGTGTTGGTTTTCAGTGCCAACTGGATCCTCGCGGCGCAACTCCGAGATAGGTGACAGAAGCTATAGCGCGACTTCGAAAAGGATGCGGACCCTCTTCTCCTTTGGTAACCTCGGTGCTGATACGGGTGGACCGAGTGGGTGTCACCCGATCAATTGGGGCGATCAATGTTGCCCTGCACCTCTACACACCTCCAATAAGTCCCACGATATCTGGCTGGTAAGTCCTCGCCACCTTCGTGCCTCCGTTCATCCGTTCTTATTGCTCATTCCCTCTGGCGTCACGTAACCCTCTCTTCGTTTCTTTCTTTCTCTATCTCTCTCTATCTCTCTCTCTCTCTCTCTCTCTCTCTCTCTCTCTCTCTCTCTCTCTCTCTCTCTCTCTCTCTCTCTCACTCACTTATTTACTCATTCACTTTCTCACTCTTAATTTGTCGAGCAACGAAGAAACCAGATACAGTACGAGAAAAGAAAAGAAAAAACGTATACGTATCATGATCACCCTTACGTATAAACACGTTTCTTTCGCGATTTTGGTTAAATCCCTAAGTTATCCGAGGAATCGTAACATTTTTTTCACAATTCTTCTCTAACAAAACAAACTAGAGACGATCAAATTTACCCCATGTGCTCTTTTTCTCTTCCCATTTCGTTCGATAAAACGGAACGTTTTTGTCTACTCTAAATTATTATCATTATCTCTTGCAGGATCTCTTTTGGTACCATTCTACTACCTAAATGCTACATGAATAATTTTCTTTTTTAAATGATGAGAGAACAAGTAGTGACGAATATCACTGGACGAACGATTGTACGGGACATTTTTACGATTCTTTCGTACTACACGCTCTATAGCCTTCGATTTTGAAAAGTGTTGTGTCGTTAAAGCGTACGATCGTTCTACTATACAGTTAGCATAGTTTATACAGTGTTTAATTTTTTCTCCTATCAGCTGACTGGATACGCTTCCACCGTTCTCGTTTTTCTTTCGTTTCGTTATATTTTTTTTACTTTTTTATCTTTGCGGTATTTTAGCCGCAAGCCAGAATATCAATAATTGATACACGTTGATGGTCACATTGCATATCGATTAAAAGTTAAAAAAAAAAATATAGAAAGAAAGAGAAAAAAGAAGACGAGAGATGATATGCAGCTATCCTTCCGCACTTGCTTTCACGCTTATATCGTCTCTCTTTCTTTTTCTCTTTCTCTCTCTCTCTCTCTCTTTCTTTTTCTCTTTCTCTCTCTCTCGCTCTCTCTCTCTCTTTCTCTTTCTTTCTCTCCTCTCTCTCTCTTTCTTTCTCTCTTTCTCTCTTTCTCTCTTTCTATTTCTCTTTCCCTCTTTTTCTCACTTTTCTCCTTTGGACATTACATACATAGCATATACATAACGCATACACGTACACGTGTATATAGCTAATATGCATAATACATATAGTGTCGGCTCGGTGCACACACCCACTCGTTTTCCTTTTGCCTTCGTTGTAAGTGTTTCTTCCATGCACATAGTTCTTTTTTCTATTGTGTCGTATTTGCCACCACCGTCATTCCCTTTTTCTCCTTCCATTTCCAGCAGCCTATTCTGCTTCGTGATCGTTACATTTCATTAGCTTCTCAAAATGTTTCTCTACGATTTATATCAAAGTAGATAGAGTTTCGCGTATCGCGATACACGCCATTAATTCGATAATTAAAAAAAAAAGAAGAAAAAGATAAGAAAAAAATAAGATGGAAATAAAGAGAAAGATAAATTGGAAGCCCGTGCCCAGAGACGCCCGAAGCCCTTCTGTATTATAAGAAAGAGAAAATATTAGAGAGTGGAGTAAATGGATGGATTATTTTCAAAATTGTAAATCAATTCAATCGTAATATTTGGATCATCCATTTTTATTCAGTCGACTGTTACGTTAGCGTTATCACAATTATATTTTGTAATTACATTGCTACTTAAATCTTACGATCGGAGTTTCAGATTTGTTTTTCATATACTATTTGCTCCAACTCATTTTAGTTTGCATAAAATAAAACCCAAAGTATCAATTTCGTATACTTTGGATTGATAGTTTCGAAAGATTCGAGCCGAGTTGGCTCGAGTACCTATACTTGAATCGATCGTTTTTTATCCTCTGCTTACAGATGGTACAAGTTCATTGAAGGCTCCTCCCGTCGTCAACCTGTTCAGCTAAATGATCGTGTTCGTCAGGTCAGCGGTACTTTGATTATTCGTGAGGCTCGTGTTGAAGATTCCGGCAAATATCTTTGCATCGTTAATAATTCCGTTGGTGGTGAAAGCGTGGAAACTGTTTTGACCGTTACTGCACCCCTTGCCGCTGAAATCGAACCCAGCACACAGACAGTTGATTTTGGAAGACCAGCTACTTTCAATTGCAACGTTAGAGGCAATCCGATTAAGACGATTTCATGGTTGAAAGATGGCAAGCCACTTGGACTCGAGGAACCAGTACTTAGGATCGAAAGTGTTAAGAAGGAAGACAAGGGAATGTATCAATGTTTCGTTAGAAATGATCAGGAAAGTGCTCAAGCTACTGCTGAATTGAAACTTGGAGGAAGATGTAAGTTAGTTCAAGAAAATGTGAAGTCCATCAAAATACATAAATATTGCATTTGTTATATGAACATTGTTTGCTTTTGATAGTCGAACCACCACAGATCCGTCAGGCTTTCACCGAGGAGACTCTTCAACCCGGACCCAGCATGTTCTTGAAGTGTGTTGCCAGTGGAAACCCTACACCAGAAATAACCTGGGAACTCGATGGAAAACGGCTATCTAACACGGAAAGAGGACAAGTAGGACAATACGTTACGGTCAATGGTGATGTCGTCTCTCATTTGAACATCTCTAGCATTCATACCAACGATGGAGGTCTTTACAAATGTATTGCTGCATCAAAGGTATATAAAAATTATCTTTTGATTTTCATCTTTATATAAGATCACTTGATAGATTTTATTCATTAGGCACAACTTTATACTTCATATAATGAATAGTGTAACAGATGAACATGTTCGAAACTACTTGAGATATCGAGAAATCGTTTTGAATCTTTACGTATCTTCGAAAATTTGTATATATTTTACTACTTAAACAACTAGATGGATTAATTTGAAATTTAAAGTATCCAAAAATATACTTGTAATGAAAATTCATAAGTTATCTGATATCCAGTTTAAAAATAGTGGACATTTAATCAATTAAAAATGTCGCATATGCATCTGGAATGATAAAAATTGTCCAGAAAAATTTAACATAGTATCAGCCGTTAACGTGGATTATAATACATCCAATCCAATTTTTATATGATTGATATGTACATTGTTGAAGAAAATATGTAAACAAATTCGTGTAAAAAGGTATACGGTATCTATGGAAAATAAAAGATTGGTTATAGATCTAAATAATCAGCAAAAATAATACTATAAATCATATGAAAAATCGTTTTAAAATCTTATAATTTCTACGTGCTTGCTCTTTTTAATTTTTATAAAGATTTCACACGTAAATATATATATAAAAATATATTAAATATATAAGATAAATTATCATAAGAAAAAGAAAAATAACATGTTAGTAATTCATCCATACAAAAATTAGAGAAAGTAATATGAGTTACACATAACAAGATTTTATTTGCTATTACTTTCACAATAAACGCATACGTTTTCAATTGAACGTGTAGAAATAACATGGAGGTAAATAATATTAATGGAGGTAATAATAATAAAGCCAGCGTCGCATTCATTGTAATACGAAAAAATGTTTTTTTCTTAAAATTTGGATCGATCATTAAATCAAAACAAATCGTGTAAAAAGAGAACGAATTTTTTTTCGTATTAAATTAAAATCCTATGGAAAAAGTTCGTGTAGAAACAAAGAATTGAATGTATATCGATTGTTCCTAATGCGAAAAAGCTTCACTGGATGAAGTGTTGGATTCTTATTACGCTTATTTATAGGTTGGCTCTGCTGAACACTCTGCTCGTCTTAATGTTTACGGCTTACCCTTCATTCGTCATATGGACAAGAAAGCTATCGTCGCTGGTGAAACTCTACGTGTTACTTGCCCCGTTGCTGGTTATCCTATTGAAAGTATTGTATGGGAACGTGACACCAGGGTACTTCCGATTAACAGAAAACAAAAGGTCTTCCCGAATGGCACTCTCATCATTGAAAACGTCGAACGAATGAGCGATCAGGCTACGTACACGTGTGTTGCCAGAAATGCACAGGGTTACAGCGCTCGAGGAACATTGGAAGTTCAAGTTATGGGTAAGTTCGAAGTTTTCATTCATTATCTTTCATCGTGGGTCGCGTGATATCTTTTTTACGTCTAAATTCATTTTTTAAATTTATTCAATCATCGTGATATAGATTATCTCGAGATATTTTTTGGAAAAGATAGAAGATCTATCATAGTCATTTATTTTAATGTTGACAGTTATTCGTTCAATTTTACTATTCAGTTGTTAAAACATTTCGATCGATAATAATTTAACTGTTCTTTTTAAAATTGTTGATTTTCGCGTTAATACCGATCAAAATGTTTAGTTTAAGATTATAGATGTAATAACATTACATTGCAGAATTCAACAGGATATAATTTATGTTATGTCTATCAATCGTGTTAAAAGAACAAAAAAAAAAAGAATTTTTCTTTCAGCTAACACTCGTATGATAGACATCAGTTTAAGTCTAAAATACGCTGGCAGATTCGATTACGTTGTCGTTTTGTCATTCCACATCGCCGATAATTTAATTTAAATACAAAATTTTTCGAACGTACCGTAAATCTCGTATGTAGGAAAAATCGTACGTGTTAACGATATTCACATACATTGATGTGTACGCGGATACCAAAGCTCCGTTACAGATCTTACGGACTCTATAATTAAAGGGTGAAAGCGTGCCGTATCCAAGGAGGCTTTCGTTGGAAGTTGGTATGGCGGTGGCCGACAAGCGATCGTAAGAAATTAGATGCACCTCTTCTTGACTAGAATTTTTCTCTTTCTTTCATTTTCTATCTTCGCATTTCAATCGAATCAAAAATAATTGAATGAAAAATAATGAAAACTGAAATAAAAAGAAAGATATAAAAACTCAAAAAATGTGTCGTGCGTTATGCATTTTTTTGTTAAAGATTTTCATATTAGATCATATTAGATTCATTATTAGAATATAATTATAATAAGTCGCGAGTTATTAATGTACGAAGTGGAAAAAAAAAGAATAGAAGGCAAAAAAAAATTTGCAAAACTCACGACATTATAAAAACGTACTATGTTGCGCGCGCGCGACCTGTTCATACATACATCCATACATCGATCCTCCAACCTCAGTGCCGCCCACGATACAAGAGTTCGCATTCATGAAGCTACCAATGAACGCCGGAGAATTTGCAAATCTGCAATGTATCGTGCCGACCGGCGATCTGCCTCTGAACATACGTTGGAGCTACCCGGGAGAAGAGATGGGCGGTTCTTCCGGCGTGCTCGCGAAGAAGGTCGCGGATCGCGTTAGCATGCTTATGATCTCCGTCATCACCGCGAAGCACTCGGGAGAGTACGTTTGCACCGCTGAAAACGCGGCTGGGACGGCCTCCCATTCGACCACTCTCACCGTCAATGGTTCGGGACTATGATTTCTCAGCCTAGACAGCTCCTTTTTTTCATTATATCTTTTTCATATTTTTTCTTCTTCTTCATCTTCTTATGAATCTTTGTTTTTTATTAGTTTTTTAAATTCTTTTATTTTTTCTTTTTATTCTTTTTGTTTATTTTTATGCACAGTTATTCCCGCAGCGTGCACAGTAGGTCACTTTGTCCTCTCTCGTTCTTTATTCCTTATGCCCTATCGATCGTTTTCCATTTAATATGTCTAGACACTTTACTAGCTATGTTTTTAGATCGTCTTTGTGGATCGAATAAAACTCGTGGAATGTATGTTACGAAATGTAAAAATGCGAACGGTATAATCAAATCTGACTGACGTTTGACTTTTGTAAAGTCAGCCCGCAGCTTCTACCAATCGCATTCAATACCGAAGTCGCCAACTGGGGAGATTTCGTGTCGGTGCCTTGCTCGATACTGAAGGGCGACATGCCCATGGATATATCCTGGTCGTTCAATGGTGTACCGATCGACACATCAAAAGACACTGCTATCACGATATCGAAAATCAGCAATCATTTCAGTACGTTGAGCATCGATAGCGTCTCGGCGAGACACGCCGGGGAATATGCCTGTTCCGCGTCGAATCTCGTCGGTGCTGTCAGTCGATCTGCGACTTTGACTGTAAACGGTACGACTCTCCATCTTTTTAAATCGCTCTTTTCTTTCTTCTCTTCTTATAGCACCAGAAATAACTATCTATTCCCGTCCCAGGTTCCATAGCGTTGCGGCCATCATTCTTTTTCTTTATACCGCCATACCAAGTTCCTCTTTAGCACCAATAATCAAGCGTTCATTGGTCTATTATAGCCTACCGTGAACATTTCTGGCGTGGCCAGACTCTTTCTATAGCTCTTTCCAGTTGCACCGCAAATCATACCCTTCGATTTTGGTGATGAATCCGCGAATTGGGGCGAGCTCGTATCGGTGACATGCTCGATAACGAAAGGCGATCAACCTCTCGACATATCCTGGGCCTTTAATGGGACACCTATCGAAACCAACCACGGATCCGACGTGGTGGTTGGAAGCACGAACAAGAAAAATAGCGTTTTGACCATTGAATCGGTCGCGGCTAGACACGCGGGAGAATACACCTGTTCCGCTTCGAATCGTGCCGGTGCTGCATCTCACACTGCTCTTCTCACAGTAAATGGTATTTACGCGCCTAAGCTCTCGTAAGAATGATCTTTATTCCGAATCCACTTTCATCGATCATATTTTTCCTTCAACTTATATATTTCACCACCTATCCAGTGTTTCCGGTCGGATCAAATCACCTCACAGAATGTTTTTCTTTTCGTGCAACAATTTTTTTTTATTTAATGTTACAACCTGCTTACTTGACATATTTCTTTCTTAATTTTCATGATTTCCGTCTTTGATTTTTTTTTCCATGCATCTCTCTATCGTACCGAACATAGGTCTAATAAACGAGACATCAGAGACGTGAGTAATCCGTAAATCAGACGCGAGAACCATCGCGTTCGGATCCGTAAAAAGTCAGCTGCTAACACGTACACGTTATCTACTTGCCTTTTGATCATCATCATCATCATCATCATCAACATCATCATCCATTCCGAAATTTATTTCTCATCGCACCCTTTCGTCCGTGCTGCCGTGTCGTTCGCGCAGTCGCACCGCAGATTCTTCAGTTCAGTTTTGGCGACACTTCCCTCAACTCCGGCGAGATGCTGTCTGTTGCTTGTACGATCGTCAAGGGTGACTTCCCGGTGACATTGACCTGGACATTCAACGACATCCTCATAAACTCGTCCCAACACGATATTCATATCGTAACTAGTAAGAGGGTCAGCTTTTTGAACATCGACAATGTGGCTGCGAGACACGCTGGGATATACAAGTGCATAGCGACCAATGCGGCAGGCTCCGACAGTCATACGGCTGTTCTTTCGGTGAACGGTACACCGCGTTTTCGTCAAAGATTTTGCTACCTTGCAAACACTTTTAGTATTTATCCTCTTGTAAATTTTTTGTAATCCGCAGTAAATCTACATAGAGTACTAATTCTTTTTTGGAGGTCAGAATATATATTATGCATAAACGTATATATCTATATTTATGTACTGTCGTTGTCTTTGCGTTCACGAATTCAAAAGTGATTATTTTTGGATCGAAAAAATGGCTCTAATAATATAGAAGAGACAACGACAGAAAAAATGTAACACGATCCATCGTAAGAGACGATGGGACGCGTTATTCATATTATTTTCTTCGTATCGCTTTATCATATATATACTTACATATATATATATATATTTTTTTTAATGTCTTGAATATTTAAACAAGCCTGGAATCTGCTGTCGTGTTTCCACGTTTTCCAACATCCCACAACTCCCTTCTTGCGGAAGCTTCTTTCGAGGTATCCATGGCTACGTGCTAACGACGTAAATGGTATTTCAATATCGCGCTGCGTAGAGTGCACAGCTTTGAATATTCATAGACGTATGTACAACGACCACCAGCATTATCCTGAACGTCATCTCGTCCGTAAAATTCTCCGTTTTCGTCATCTTTAAGATCCCTTCCTTCTATCTTTGACAGCTCCTATGCGCGTTTTCAGGATCTGGTCTCCTTTTTTCCTGGAGTTTTTATCAATTTACAGTGGCACCACAGATCGGGCCCTTCTCGTTCGGTGACGAAGCCGCAAATGCGGGAGAAATGGCGACCGTTCAGTGTGCCGTGATAAAAGGAGATCTGCCTGTTGACATTATTTGGTCACTGAACGGTCAGCTGATTGATGTTATGGACGCGCAGACCAATCAGAATTATGATCGTCAGGATATTATCGTGAGCAGGAGCAACAAACGAGCCAGCACTTTGACGATCGATTCGGTCGCCGCAAGACACGCGGGCGAATATTCGTGTACGGCGAGCAATGCAGCCGGATCCGCCACGCACACCTCGGTACTTTCAGTTAATGGTACGATTTGCCTTTTTCTTGTAAACTTCGAAATCGATTGACTGGGTGGTTGGTCGGTCGATTCGACAGTCTTGATAGTTCATCCAACACGAGAATGGTGTGTGGTAGCTGACACTGAGGAACGAGGACTTGTGTGGGGTAAAACGAACAATGATCCCTTATCCTATACAAGAAATATTCTTTACAACCAACTTTCACATGTTCCTTTCAATATGTCGCTTCTGGTCAGGTCAAGTCAGGTAGTCGAGGTCATTCACGATCACTATATCCTCAAACGTTATATCGTATAAGACAATGGAGAGTATCATTCTCCCGATATAATTGGCAGTACCGCCGAGGATTGCACCCTTCGAAATGGCCGACAAGGCTGTCAATTCAGGAGAATCGGTATCAGCTGTTTGCACCATCGTCAGCGGTGATTCTCCGCTCGAGATCACTTGGGCATTAAATGGGATGCCGGTCGAGGAGAGCCAACGGATCTCAGTGACGACCACCAAGAGGAACAGTCTTTTGTCAATCGATTCGGCGAGCCCTAGTCATGCCGGGACTTACACTTGTGTTGCTTCAAACGCAGCCGGAGCAACGACTTATTCCGCAGAATTAACTGTGAACGGTACTTTACAAAGATTAGATCAACCGATTCAGCTTAAGGAACGTCGACCTATCCAATCATCTTTCTTCCTGTCTCTTTCAATTTTTCCTCTTCTCTTTGTATAGGATTTTCTTCGATGTCTTTCTTCCTCTTTTCCTTTTCCTTCTCGCTAGGCACATCTCACGATAAGGGTGCAAGGAACGAAAGGAAACGAAAGAACAGTTAAGAAATATCGTGTGTTTATTCACGCTTATTTCAGTCTCACCAGAGATCGCTCCTTTTGATATCGCGGAAAAGCCAGCAAACTGGGGAGACTCGATTTCCGTGGTATGCGCCATCGTGAAGGGTGACGTACCAATCGAGATCTCTTGGGCGTTGAACGGCGAGCCAATCGGTCCCGATCGCTCAGACATCAATATCCTCGCGACTACACGAAAGAATAGTATTCTCAGCATCGAGTCGGTCGCCGCGAGGCACGCGGGAGAGTATACTTGTTCAGCCTCTAACAAAGCTGGAGGAACGAGTCACTCCTCAACTCTAGTTGTTAACGGTACGAGAATTACCAAGTAGTCTTTGCATCCTCTTATCATCCACCTACACATATTCTTTCTTCCTTTTCTCCAATGATTCATATTGCCTCACTATTTTCATTGATCTGATGTCGGATCGGTTTTTTCTTTGGTGTCGAAGTATCTTCTACGTATTAGGACGTCACAGGAGAAGCATCAACGACGACGAGGATGTTAATAGTTTGAAAAAATTATTCTTTTGCTCCCGATTTAGTCGCACCCGAGATAGCACCGTTCGTGTTGAGTGAAAACCCGTCTAACTGGGGCCAAACTGTTACCGCGACTTGCACGATTCTTCAAGGTGATCAGCCCGTCCAAATTGAATGGGCTCTCAATGGCAAGTCGATCTCTCATGAATATCCTGACATATCGATCGCAACCACCAAACGCGTCAGCCTGCTTACAATCGAAGCAGTCACTGCGAGTCACGCCGGCGAATATACTTGCATTGCTAGTAACGTGGCTGGTGGAACGAGTTATACAGCAACGTTGGCCGTTAACGGTATAATAGATAACGTCTTCCGTCTATACGTTTTCGTTGCTCGTGTCTGCATGTCACGGATTAGTTCATGGTTAGACATTTTCCTTTTTTTATGTTTTCATATTATCCCTTTCTAATCCTCTTTCTCCTTCTTATCCGATTGTCACTAAAACAAACGTTTTAGTCTGTCCAGTTTAGATAGGTTTGTGAATCGTTCGTTAAGGAAGCAGATATTTTATATCGAACATTTAATCATTTTTGGTTTAATCGAATAGTAGAAACGATACTTTTATGACACTTTTTCATGATAGTCGCTCCGGTGATAATGTCTTTCGAAATGGGAGAAGGACCAACAAACTGGGGGCAAACCGTTACCGCGACTTGCACAATCCTTCAAGGTGACCAGCCTATCCAAATGGAATGGGCTCTCAATGGCAAGCCGATTTCTCATGATTATCCCGACATATCGATTGCAACCACCAAACGCGTCAGCCTACTCACAATTGAGGCAGTTACTGCAAGTCACGCCGGCGAATATACTTGCATCGCTAGTAATGTGGCTGGTGGAACAAGCTATACAGCGACGTTGGCCGTTAACGGTACAATAACGTCTTCCGTCTGTATGTTTTCACTGCTCGTGTCTGCACGTCACGAATTAGTCCATTATTCAACATTATATGACATTTTCCTTCTTCCTTCTTTTGTTTTTTTTGTACTTATCCTTTCCTAATTCTCTTTCTCCTTCTTATCCGATTGTTACTAAAATAAACTTTTTAGTCTGTCCAGTTTAGACAGGTCTGTGAATCGATTGTTAAGGAAGAAAATATTATATATTGAATGTTTGATGACATTGGGGTAAATCGAATAGTAGTAACAATATTTATGATGCCATTTTTTCATGATAGTCGCACCAGTGATAATGCCATTTGAAATGGGAGAGGAACCAGCAAACTGGGGCCAAACTGTTACCGCGACTTGCACTATCCTTCAAGGTGATCAGCCCGTTCTAATTGAATGGGCTCTTAATGGCAAGCCGATCTCTCATGATTATTCTGACATATCGATCACAATTACCAAACGTGTCAGCTTACTCACGATCGAAGCAGTCACTGCGAGCCATGCTGGCGAATATACTTGCATTGTTAGTAATGAGGCTGGTGGAACGAGTTATACCGCGACGTTGGCCGTTAACGGTACAAAATACGTTATCATTGCTCTTGTGCATGTAACGAAATAGTCCATCGTTTGACATATTCTTTTTTCCTTCTTTTGTTTGTTTTTATTCTCATTTTTTCCTAATCCTCTTTCTTCTTCTTATCCGATTGTCACCAAAATAAACGTTTTAGTTTATCCAGTTTTGATAGGTTTGTTGATCATTCGTTAAGGTAGCAGATATGGGGTAAATCGAATAGTAAAAACGATATTTTTTATATAATTTTGTCACGATAGTCTCACCGGTGATAATGCCATTTGAAATGGGAGAGGGACCAGCGAACTGGGGAGACACCGTAACCGCTACTTGCACCGTGCTGAAGGGCGATCGTCCTGTACAGATCGAATGGGCTCTCAATGGTGAACCGATATCTCGCGATCGTTCGGACGTATGGATTAATACCAACGAACGCGTTAGTCTGCTCACAATCGATGCGGTTACAGAGAGACATGCCGGAGAGTATACTTGCACAGCTAGCAATGTTGCTGGTGGAACCAGTTATTCCGCATCTTTGGCTGTAAATGGTAGAACGATTTCTGCGTTTCACTTAGTTTTTCTAGTTTTTTTTTGTAGCACTCATGCATGTACGGAATCGTTGGTTACATTTATTTCGGTGGATAAACAATATAAATGCAATCCTTTGTTCTATCCTTCATTCAATACGTTCGCTTTGGAGATGGTGCTCTAATTATTCCGCAAAATAAAATCCTTTCAATAGGTCCAGAATCGTTGATTAATAGTGTCAGGATAATTTAGGTTCTTTCTCTTTCAGTCTATATCTCTCTTTTTCTTGATACTTCGTGCCATTATTATAATTTTAGATTGACGATTAACGTTGTCATTTTAGTGGTACCCCATATAGGTCCTTTTTCGATCAGTGACGGTCCTGCGAATTGGGGTGATATGGTCTCGGCGACGTGCTCCATCATGAAGGGTGATTTTCCCGTAAACATTGTTTGGAAGTTTAACGACAAAACGATAGGTCCAGACGATTCAGATATCATGATAACGAAGATCAATAGACACATGAGCGCATTGAGCATCGAGTCGGTGACTGCAAGACACGCGGGCGAATATACTTGCGTCGCTACGAACCGAGCTGGCAATGCCACTCACTCGACCACGCTGGCTGTTAACGGTACCAACCTTTTGAAAGCACGCTTGCACGACAATAAACGTGTTTTGCACAGCACATACCCTTTTATTGTTCTTTCATTGATCCTGATTTTTGTTTTTCATAAAACAATTAATTCTATTGACAAAAATGCTTTTTTAGATTTGGTTGGACGCGTTGATGAAATTCAAGCTATATGAATATAAATTTTGGTATCTGAAAAATTGCATTGGTTTTATTTAGAACAAAAAAAAAAAAATGCTTTTCGATCGTTGACAAACGTGTTCTATTAAACATCTACCCATCCATCATCCTGTCATTGATCCTAATTTTGTTTTATCATATAAGACTATTTATTCTCTCTTGAAAGAAATATCTTCTTGAAGTAAGTTAAGCCATTTGGATAGAAATCTTGCTATTCAATGAATCTTATTGGACTCGTTTAGAGCAGAAAAATGTTTTTCAATTGACGACAAGCGTGTTCTATTAGTTGCACCACAGATCTTTCCCTTTTCGTTTGGCGACGAACCGGTGAACTCGGGCGAGGCGATATCGGCCACCTGCTCCATTCAAAAAGGAGACTTCCCGATGGACATTTCGTGGGCCTTCAACGGCGAACCGATAAACGACGAACATAAAGATCAATTTGTTATAACGAAAAGCAAACGTCTGAGTGTATTACAAATCGATGCCGTTGCCGCAAGACACGTGGGAGTATATACTTGCACAGTGTCGAACAATGCCGGTGCTTCCAGTCACATGGCTGCTCTAGCTGTGAACGGTAATGCGTGTGCATGTCTCGTACGGGCACGTCTCTATCTCTTTCTTTCTTTTCTCTTTATCTTTTTCTCTTTCTCTCTCTTTATTTCTCACTAGTGACCTTGGTTGACCTATCCGTGAACATAACAGAACTCGTATCCTTTCACTATTCTTTCCATTCCTCGTTGTCGTAAATTCACGATCATTCAACTTTCAAGTCTATTTTTATAGATGAAAACTTTTTCGCATATCAACATCATCATATTAGGAATATATTGGTAGGTCTAAATGAGCAGACTCCAGGTTTACTATCATCAACCAATCATGGCAATACGTTAAACGTCTTGTTATCTTTTTAGCTCGTTCACTGTTATTGATAATCTCGTTTAGGATTTGTTAGCCAGGATAATTGTTATACCTTTGAAAATTACTTGCAGTCGCGCCACAGATAGTACCGTTTTCGATCAGCGACGAGCCTGCAAATTGGGGAGAAGCGGTCTCGGCTGTTTGTACGGTCGGAAAGGGTGACTTACCGATCGAGGTTTCGTGGGCTTTAAACGGTGAGCCCATTAACGACGCCAATCACGAAGACGTTTCTATATCGAGCACTGGAAAACGGGTCAGCCTAATGACGATCGAGGCCGTAAGCGCGAGGCACGCCGGAGAGTATACTTGTACAGCCTCGAACGCAGCTGGAGCTACTAGTTATTCGGCTATGTTGGCAGTAAACGGTACACAAAGGGGATCGGATACCTGTTTCTTGAATTGAAATAATAGAAAAATGCATAGAACGATGTATTTACTCTACCATTTAATTCACGTGCACTTGTAATTAGCTACTAGAAACGTATGAAAGCGATAATGCTTTATTTTCTACTAATGTTTGAACAGATCGCTTCTTCCCTAAATGTAACACGATTCTTACGATTGCAGTGTATTTTCTATTTTATCTTTGAAACAATCAATATGTTTTTCTTTCGTTCTTCCAACATTTTTTCCTTCGTCCTTTCTTTATCACCTTTCTCCTTTATTCTCCAAGGACGTATAAAAACGTGCCCGATGAGAGATTGATCAGCGTTGACGATCTTTTTTAGTCGCACCGCAGATCGCGCCCTTTTCGATCGGGGATGAACCGGTTAATTGGGGAGAGCAGGTTTCGGCGATTTGTAGTATCGTCAAGGGTGATTCACCGATCGATATTCAATGGAGCTTAAACGGCGAACCGATCACTGCTCGCACACATCCAGACATAACGATCCAGAAAACAGGCAAAAAGACGTCTCTACTGACCATCGACTCTGTAACCGCGCACCATGCTGGCGAGTACAGTTGCGTCGCGAGCAATTTGGTTGGATCTGTCACTCGTTCGGCCGTTCTCTCAGTTAATGGTATTTGAAAGGCATTACAATAACAACAACGTTAAAAGCATTAAAAGCATCGCATAATGCATCCAAACTTTCCATTAAGCAACACTTTCATACCTCAAGAATCCATCCTAATAACATTACCTATTTCCAGCGTCATGAAAAAATCCGTTTGTCGAAGAAATTCTAGGAAGAATACCCTTAATTGATTTTCTCTGGATTTGGCCTTGAAGGAAGGATTCTATTCAAAAAATAAAATATCGTTTAATCGTCGTTTTTTTTTCTCATGTGAATTCATTCATGTTTCTGAGCACATGTTACTGTGCTTATTCTTTTCTTGTTAATTCGTGTCACAGTCGCACCACAAATAGCACCGATATCCTTTGGCGAAGAACCGGTCAACGCAGGTGACTTAATCTCCATACAATGCGTCGTTACTAAGGGCGATTCTCCTCTGGAGGTCACTTGGACGTTCGATGGTCGTCCTATAAATCACGATCGGATGGATGTGATTGTATCTGATTCCGGAAAACGCGTGAAGCAATTGATCATCGAGTCCGTCGCTGCGAGACATGCCGGGGAATATACCTGTGTTGCATCAAATGCGGCTGGTTCAACGTCTCATTCGGCCAAGTTGGACGTCAACGGTACTTCCTGACCTTGCATCAACGATCCCAGCATCTTTCTAATAACTTCCTTCTGCATTAGCTTCCTTTCCGACGAAGCACATTCCTCTTTACGCTCTGTACACTTTATGTTTTCTTCATCTACCTTCATTCTTCTTTTTTTATCAGATTTATTTCTTTTTATTCCTTTTTTCATTTTAATTTTCTTATCTTTCATATATTTTCATTTTTGATTTAAATTCGTTTAACGAGTTGAAAACTGGGGTGTGAAAAAAGACGAGAATCATTAGAAACTGAGAAATCAAGAGATTGAAGAACAGAGAACTTCTTGAAGGATTATACAGCAGTTATTGGGAAAGTGATATCGCAAGATTAGCGAGATAGCTTCTTTTCTACTTTATTTCTATTTCCAGTCATTCCGAAATTGTTGCCATTCTCGTTCGGAGAAGAACCGTTAAACTCGGGTCAAGTAGTAACGGTACCGTGCGCAGTGGTCGAGGGCGATCAACCCTTGAAGCTCCGTTGGACCTTAAACGGTCATGAGATTTCGCCACACTCTGGAATCTCAGTACTGGATCTTGGCGGAAGAGGCGCCATACTGAGCATAGGATCGGTCCTGGAAACTCACGCAGGAACTTACACGTGTATCGCGGAAAACCATGCCGGAAGGCATGAGCTTTCGTCCGATCTGATCGTCAATGGTGCATAACGATCTCTCTTTTTTCGTTTCTCAACCCCTTCTATATTTTCAGTTCCTAATTCTAAGGATTTTTCGTCGAAAAAGTCACAAAAAGAATTATCCTCTACCAAGTCCTAATCATTTGTGCAATCCTATAGACCTATACGAGTCCACTTGCGTTTTCCTTTTGATTTCTTCTTCTTCTTCTCTCTTCTTCTCGAACACGATCTTGTTCTTATGGAAAAGCATAGGTTCGTTGGAAAA